AGGAACATGGCTGAATCCTTAGATGGTTAAGATAATTAAACCTCACTTGATCCCAAGTGTTTCTTTTCTTGGTTCCTAGGTACTGAAATAAGTAAAATAAAGTGTTCCATGAGTCGAAAGATGTATTTCTTTTTCCACTTTGAAACTACAAGGTGCATAACAAGTCACCTCAAAGTCATTATCCGGTGAATGATAGTTTTGTCATGACTTGTAACTACGGGTGGCAAATGAGCGGGTCAGATCGGATCGGATATTAGCGGGTCAAAACGGATAAATTATCTGACCCGGCCCGTATTTGGAAAGGGATTAAAATGGGTTTATCCGGTGGATAATATGAATATCCATATTATCCATGGCTTCTTAAATATGATCACTTATGAGAGAATTCCTTGTCTTCCAAACTTTGAGGAACTCCAATTTGAGGCTTTACAATGTAAAAGTTAAACACATTAGTTATCCATTGGTTAACTATTTTCTAAGTGGATAATATGGTTCTTCATCCATATTCGACCCGTTTTTAAATGGGTCATTATCCAACCTATTTTTTAATTGATAATATGGGTGGATAACTATTTTTTTTAACCATTTTGTCACCTCTACTTGTAACTGATGATGCCAACTCCATTAATCAATCGATTAGTTCAAGTTTCTAAGTTAACTGCAATTTAGTTCTTCAGCAGTTTACTTCATCTTATATTAGTGTCTAAAATAACAATAATGAATTCTTCCTAGAGACAAGGGTTAATAGGTTCATGATTATGAAATGTTGGAATGTCATGGTATGTTAAAAAGAGAGGTCCTATCTTCATAGCAAGCATTCAGTAACCTAGGGTCTCCTTTATAGTAAGGCTCATAAATGAATTTTGCCAAGAAACAATTTTTTTAATTCCAAATTGCTATAATTTACAACATGTCCTAAGTGTTTATTTTGGAAATAGGGTTCACATAGTGATTCCATTCAGTCTTAGTCCATCCAGCTGTGGTGAGCTATCTACTAGTTCATGAAGACGATATCAGTTTCTACATATCTTTTGATTTTTCAGAGTTGTAATGTATTTAAGCTCTGCCCAAACCGTTGCACTAGTACTTTAGAGTTGCTCTAACTTAGTTATTTGGGTAGTTGTAGATTTCCACTGAAACAATGTATCTTTGTTTCCATATTTATATTATGACATTTAACTTTTTGTTGCTTTTATCATTTTTATGTTATTGTATCAGCATGCATATATAGAGAGTTCGCTTGGTGGGGCAAGTGGCTCGTGGGGTGCCCTATAACAGAACTGGGTGTCATAATTTGGGTCATGATAAATTTGGTATCATAGCCTAGGTTTAAAGTCCTTAGTGTCATAGAGTAATAACTTAGTAGTCTTGTTTATGGATATGTTGGATCTCATACTTATAAGCGAGAGATAGAGGCATTTCAGGAAAGTTTCCCTTCTCTCAGTCTTCTCTCGTCTCATAGATCTTGAAGTAGGGATAATGATATTCTTTATTTTCCCTTCGTACACGACGTTTGGGAAACCCCTTTCCATAATCGAGAACCAGCAATAAGGATGTCACGCAGAAGATGCAAGGAGACTCAAGAGGTAAGAGACAAGTCTGAAGGACAAATTGAGTTTAGTATTAGCTGTCAGCAGAGGCAAAGCTACGTAGCTCCGAGGGTGGTCCTTCATCGAAAAATTACATGGTATATATAGGTAAAATATTAAATTTTAGTGGTGTATAACATATATATTGAATACCCTTTATCGGAGATTTTTTTTTACTTCTTTCAAGTTTGAACACCCTAGATGAAATTCCTGACTTTGTCACTGGCTGTCGGGGTTAGAAGATGTTATGCACGTGTTACTATACAAACATGGGAGACTCAGAAGACTGAAGTTGAGTATGATAGATAACATCTTAGTATGTCACTTAATTCACTGGAAGCAATGGCATATTCAGTTAAGCGACAATTTGATCAACACGGTCAACAGTGCCATCGACGAGACTACTTCAATATGAATAGTAAAGCTGGTTCTTGAGAAGTGTGGGGTTGATCACATGGATCTCCCTAAGTAGAAGCAGATATGGGAGGGGTAGCAACACAGTTACAGATAAGACCAAAATCTTATGGCATAAACATGATAGCAGATTACTATAATTCATGGAGGAAAAGCATTTCAGTTCAGCCAGATCAGTTGACCATATGCAGACTATTGAGTATGTTATACATAGAGATCTACGATATTGACATTGCAATAATCACGAGTATCATAGTAGGATCATCAGATTGATCCACAGCTACATTATGTTCCAGTTTGGGTCTTTGATTGTGATTTTATCTTTCTGAGCACGAGATAAGCATTTACCTTGAGATGTCTAAGACGAGAGGCCTATGTCGCATGGTAGACAAAGGATGCGTCCATAACAAAAGATAGGGCACCTGCGCCGCATTCAATATAGTATGTATAGGTAATACTTCTAATACTAGATTGAAAGCATAAGGCATATGGATTGACACGACACTTATAATGTAAGATATAGAGCTCCACGCTGCTAGATAAAGAGCATAACATGTTTGCCTTTATAGCTAGATTATCCCAAGAGCATACTTTACATGACAGTTACTAGCATATTGAGCTAATGCTCAGCACAACAGGGCATATTTGCTGATACAGTCATCAGTATATATGTTGAGCGCGAGGCTCAGTACAGCAGGACATAATTTCCATTACAGCCAGTAGAGTGTAGAGTGTGAGACCCAACATAGTAGGGAGTATTTTCAATTATAGCCAGTAAGACGTTGAGCATAAGACTTAGTGCATCAGGGCATAATTGTCGTTGCAGTTTGAGTAAGACATGGACTAAATAGACTTGTATGCATCATTGAGTACAAAGATCAAACATAGAGAATGTTTGATAAGTTTAAAGGTAGGCGATATGATCATCATGGAGTATGGATGTTTGGTTCCTACTGTTGACTTGACCTGCTTTACGTTTCTTATGGGATGAATATGAGAAAGATAGCCAGAATGTTAATAGTTGGCATATTTTTCATGAAAGAAGAAGGACCTTGACTTCTATGTTAAGTTGTTATACTTTAGTGTGTTATGGTCGACTAATAGCTTGTTTGGCCAAGCCGGAGAAACCAGCTTATTTTGAGAAGTTTTTTTTTTCAAAAGTGCTTTTGAAAAAAGTATTTTGAGAGAAACTGCTTGGCTAATCGCTCTAAAAAGTACTTTTGAGCAATAAGTTGTGTTTGGCCAAGCTTTTAAGAAAGTGCTTTTAAGTATCAAATTACGAATAAGGACATGAATATATTTAATTAATAGTTAATATTATAAGTAAATAAATAATCTCAAAATTTTGTTTTTATGGGCAATAATTAAATCTTTTCATTTTATTTAAGTAAAATATGAAAATATAATCAAAAAGTACTTAATTCTGTTAATATAAGTTAAATAAATTAAAAATCATTCAACAAATATAAAAGCATTCTCCCCTAAAGTCACTATATATTAGAAAACTATGGTATATACTATTTTTTGTTAAGGGTATTTTTGGTAAGAAGAAAAGTCAAAACTGTTTCTGCTTTTGGGAAAAATCTACTTTTTTCTGCTTCTCAGAATCCCAAAAGCACTTTTGCCCCCAAAAAAGCTTGGTCAAACACCTTAAGTTAGGAAAAAAAGTGCTTTTGAAAAAAGAAAACAAAAAGCACTTTTAGCCTCCCGGGAAGCTTGGCCAAAGAGGATATAAGTCTTTTGGGTAGGTAGGGTCATAGTTCTAGACAGAGAAAGATTTGTGACCCTAGTATAGGTTGTTAAGCTGACAAGAAAGTCAGCTTAAGCATGGGATGGCCGGTTTCATCAAATTGGAGCTTAGCCTCATATGGAAAAATTAGCATGGTCTAGCCAGTTTTCGGACTGGTCATTCAAAAATAGTCAGTGTTTACCAAGTCAATGGAAAATAGTCACTATTTTGCTGCAACAGAGACCGGTCCAGCATAATATACTGGAGTTCGGTGCACCTGTGTATGAACTTCCAGCATATTATGCTGGACCGGTATACTTTGCTGGCTATAGTAAAATATACAGGAGATTGGAGCACTAGTGCTCCAAACTCCATTATATTATGATGGACCGGTATATTATACTGGAACTCCAGTATATTAGACTGAAGTTCCAATATAATATACTGGAACTCCAGTATATTATGCTGGAGTATTTTTTTTGATTTTGAACAGTGTATTCGTCTAGATTTATCTTTACATGAAAAGTAGCTAAATTTCGATTACCTTTGAAACTATGGCTATTTTTGAACGACCACTTGTAAATCTGGCTATTTTTTAATTTATCCCCCCTCATATGGGAGAGAGTTCATACTTGCCAAGAGTGTTTGGGAATTCTTGGGTATAGACAACCTATGGTCAGTTTTTCTGGATTTGAGGGATCGAGTGTTCAAGCTAGCATTGGTACTTCTGTCGTGGCAAAGAGGAACAACCTTACAAATATCGAGAGTAAAGCCATGTGATAAACTCTAAGGAGAAAGTTCTACCTGGATCATGTAGCATGATGGTGCAAGTTAAGTTTAGATATGGGTCGTAGATGGATCCTGAAGAGATTGAAGTGGTTCAGCAGTGAATCAGACCGCCACAACAAGTAGAAATGCACAATCTTATGTATTTAGCCAGATATGACTGTCATCATTTGAAGGAGTTCACCATCGCAACATCTTTGAATTGATCGACTTAGAGAAGTGTTCAATTTTGAGGAACAATTGAGTGTGAGTTGAGCTTTCAGAAGTTTAGGACCATATTAACAATAATCTCAGTATCTGTATTGCCTAAAAGTTCAGAAATGAGGAAAAATTGACCTCACTTCTAGGAGATTGAAGGAGCATGAGGAGAGTTTTTTCCGATTCACGAGTAAGAAGATGACAGCACTAGTTTGGCATCTGGCCAAGTAAGGCATCAAACAGATCGCATGAGGTTATAGATAATCCTTAATAAAAAGGACTAAGAGATAGCAACGAAGATCCGAGTTGATATACAGTTTTCTAACAATGTGGTTGCCCCATTTCTAGCTAGAGAATGATACACGAGATATTTGCAGTAGTTGTGTTAGTTGGATATGAGACGAAGGAGATTGCAGATTATGCTATGAAGCTTTTCTCTGGTTCAGTGACACTCTACAGTAGAACATAAAACTTTGCTATTTCTAGACCAAGGCTTTATCCTGTACCTAGTAATGACAAGGAGATTTCACCAAATTCCGTAAGATTGTAAAAATTAAAGACCTATACCTGCCTACGCATTGACATGCTTCAGAATGCCAGATGGTTTATGTAAAGAGATCGCGTCTTTGTTCAATAGATTTTGGTAAGGGCGAGATGAATGGATAAGAAAGTTGTATCTACAGAAATGGGAAAGGCTTTAACACTGCAGTACTTCTAGCTTCGTGCTATATTAAGTCCACAAATCAAAAAGTTTAACGAAGCCCATATCCTCGTCTGACTCCTCCACCTTCTCCTCCTTGGATTCAGCTGAAGCACCACCTGCAGGAGCAGCAGTGGCAATAGTACCTCCACCAGCGGGTACAGATATTGCGAGTTTTTCACGTGCAGCAGCAATTAACTCAGTGATAGCCTTACTCTTGACTTGTGATAGCAGTAGCTCTATCCTATCATCATCGTCACCTTCAGCTCCAACACAGGGTAAGATGTCCTTCAAGTCATTGGCGCAAGGAGACGTATTGCCTCCCAAAACGGCGAGCACATAGGCAGCTGTTACCTTCACTATTGTGTCAAAGGAGTGAGAGGAAGCTGCTTTGAATCTGCTATTGACATCACAAAGCTTGCTTGCAAGTTGGTAGCATGAGTAAACTTCATACATTGCGTATTTCACCTCCTCCTCCGACAGAACTGAAGACGATTGCCAGTTAGCACGCATTTCACCATTATTAATGATAGGTCTCTTAATATGATCAAGCCCAGCTTCAACCATCAGATCTTCTAGTGTTCCAGTAAGAAGCTTTGGCTTCATAAGAATCTTAGCACCCAAATAACAAATATCCACGATTCTGTTACATTCCAATTTTATCTTGCTGCGACTTTCGGATACATAAAGAGTAGATTTATGGCTTATGTTTTTAGGACCTACAAAAGTGATACTTTTGTCACTCAGGAACTGCATAAGAGAATCGGGGATTGCAGTGAGATCATCCAAGGCCATCATGTGCCTAAATTGAATAATTAGGCACTGCTTCTTTACACAAAGCAGCAGCAAATCTCCTCCATTTACAATATCAATTCCAGCAGCTGGATTTGGATACTTCAATTCACCCCTTAGTTTGGAGATGCAAAGGTTTAGAATGGCTACGCGTCAACAACTCTTGTTGTTATGGTGGCACCACCCATACTGACATAGCAAGGGCTCATTTCATAGAGCCAAGGTAGGGGCAACAGCTCTGACATTTTCACCGGTTTGCTGTTCATTACTGATTACTGTTAAACGGAATATATATGAAACATAAAGTACGAAAAAAATAAAAAGACACTTTATCCATGGGAAAACTGCACCAGAACCAGCAATGTACATACATGAAACTTAAAGTAAAAGAAGCTAAAATACTCAAACAATTGAGGAGCTTCGAATTTTTCATATTCTGAATCCTTGTTATTCATCAAATGATACTATATAACAAAGATAATAAATTTTCCTGCGACTTCTCAATCTCGCAAGTTTGTTAGGTGCACTACATCTATCATGTCGAAGTGAAAATACACTAATAAGTCAATTCATTTGGGACTGCAAATCCATTTTTTTTTCCTATTCAAAGATCAGCCCTCGCCCTCCCCCTAATACTACACTTAAACAAAGAATTCGGGATATTGGAGTGAACAAGACAGAATAATGAAAGTAGATCACCTCAATCAAGATTAATATAGTATTTATAAAACAGTAAAGAAAGCATATCAAGATTGCATTAGATGCATTTCTGAGAAAACCTTATCAAGAGGCAAACCAGAACATACTTCTTCAAAGGATTCATACAGGAACCTCCAACTTTGTTAAATGGAGGCGTAGTTGACAGAATTGAACATCCAAGTTCAATCTGTCTTGACAGAAAGAAAAGAAAGTCATACTCCCTCCGTTCCAATTTATGTGAATTGTTTGACTGGGCACGAAGTTTAAGAAAAAATGAAGACTTGGAATTTGTGATCCTAAACAAGTCAAAAAGGAGCCCAGAGTATTTGTGTGGTTATAGAAGCTTCTCATTAAGGGTACAATTGTAAGTTTAAACTAAAAAGTTAACAAATTTAGAAAAGGGTCACTCTTTTTGGAACGGACCAAAAAGGAAATAAGTTCACACTTCACATAAATTAGAACAGAGGGAGTATGTTTTATGCTTTGTTACATATTGCTTCTAGCATTTAATTTTGTAATAGCATGTAATCTAATCACTAGTTATCGACCATAAGAGACAAGTGACAGACAACTTATCAACTTAGCACTTTGCTTTTCAGTTTGTTATGAGATTTATCAAAGACTAGAAGATGCAAGAGAAACAAAGCACACCTATTTATTTGTGTCAACCACAGTATACAGTTGATGGGCCCAATGTGAAACAATATACTAAAAAACTTAAACACATAACTATTAAAATATTCCCAAAACTTTTAAAACTTAACTATTAAAATATTCTAATTCTTGACATTCCAACACTAATAGCAACATTCTAACTTTCTGTAAGCAAATAGAGAAGAAAAGGCAGATGTCTTTAGGATTATACGTCTACTCTACTTTCCCAATTATGTATAATGGCAAGAATATGGAAAATTTGACTTAAGCAGAAGACACTGGCAGTATGATTTTCTTTAGGCATCAGATGCAGCCCACAGCAGAGAGATTACACTAGACCTAAAGCTCATAAATACAAACAAAAAGTATCTCTAGTAAAATAATACAATGCGTGCAGTAGAATGTAATACGCACGTACAACAGGCAAACAAAGAGTTGATCCATATAATACTCATATTTGCAACTTGCAATAACTCCATTTCCAGGGCTAAAACACAATGGCATCAAGAATATGGAATTTCTTTCTTTCTATATGAAGAAAACAAATGAACAACACAGAAATGCTGAAGAAACGAAGGAAAAACAAGTACCTGTATTTAGGGGAGAAGACGAGGGTTTGACGCCGGTGAGAGGATTTCAAGCGCCGAGGGTTTTGCTTTACTAATTCCGATACTTTTTCACCCGCTAAACTTGTTTACACTGGGCGCTAATTATTTTGGAAGTTTAACTCATTTTTTATTGAGAGAGTTGCACGTGTAATCAACGCGGTGAGATAAGCAATCACAATACTAATGCAATCAAAAAACTAATTAAGAAAATAACTAAAGGAAGCTATAAGAGGTTCTGGCAACCAACTCTGAAGAGGTCATTTTCCTGAATTCTTATTCCATTTATTAAATTAAATTAGATCTCAATTATAAAAAATAAAATTATCCAAAATGACTTAAGACAAAAATAGTTTGACAACAAGAAGCAGCAAAGCAGGAGGTCAGGCCTTCATTCCCGAATACGGAATACCTCATGCTGTAATGTGGCGGCTGACCAAACTACTACTAGTGCGGATCTACATAGGGAGGTGGGGGTGGCACGCCACTCGGTTAAAATTTTATATACATACAGATATTTTTTTCCAGAAAATCGGTAATATTGAGCTAGTGGCACCTTGTTTCTTACTCCTATACAGCTCTATTTGTTTCTTCATTTATTTAAATTATATATTTGCTTCCTTTTTCTTATCCAATGTATCAAAAATTGTATTTGAATGTGATTTTACTCTTTTTTTATTCTCATCCCTCTTATAATGTTATTTCCCCCTTAATTTTAACCCTTATCCCTTTGCTTGTGTTGTTGATGGAAGGGGTGCATTTCCCTCATTGAAGTTAACTTTTTCTTGTATGTTTTGATAGAATTATAAATAAGTTGCAATTTGCTTGTTGCTATGATTTAAGTATGTTATGTTTGAATTGAAAAGGTAAAATTCACTTTTTAAGAACTTCCGTTTGAATGTATTTTTTTATTTTATTCAATAGAATTTGAATCAGCAGAAACTAGATGAAAACTGAACTAAATTAATTTCAATTTAATGATCAAATGGTTTATTTATGAACTAAAAACCTTGTAAACCGAATAACCTAAGACGTACGGATTGAATTACAATTCAATTTCCATCTCTAACTAAAGAACATGAAAGTCAATGGCACCTGATACCTTGCATCCGCACCTTTGAAATCCTAGATCTGCATCTACTGTTGCTACGACTATTATTATTATTAGACTTAACAGCAATCTTTTCGAAAAATTAAATCCGAAGAGCCCACATTCTTTTCAATAAGCATTTTGCTATTACTGAAAATAAAATATTGAATAAGCCTCAAACACAGAAGCACTTTCACGCCCAAATCCATCAAAGCATCCTTTAGGCCTTTTATTAATTTTTTTATTTGAATAAATAAGTTCAAATAAAAAAAATATCACTTAATCATAACGGTAAGAAGACCTTACCTAGTAGAAAATCTTACTCTCAATCCTTACGAATGTCATGTTGCAAAAGCAACGCCGCCGGTAAAATGTATTTTCCTTTTAAACAAATTAAAGTGATTTCTAATAGCCAAGTTTAAAGGATGAAAGTTCATTTTATCCAAATCTGTGTTTGCCGCAGAGGTACAAAACCAAAGATGAATAAAGTTTAACCAAATAATCCTTAAAGTGGAACACAACAAATCTTGTGGCATAAACCATCTGCCGCAACGCCAGCGCCTTAATCTGCCACTTTATTTTCTAATTATTTATCAGTTATGCATTAAAACTAATCCCAATAATTTAACATGATATAGTCTCTGATACCAATTGTTAGAATCAAATTACTTTAAAGACGAACACCATCATCTTTTACCTAAGACCTATCATGTCAAACCATCAACGAGTGATACTTGTCATCTTTGCAGTTAGTGGTCTTCCAAATCAAAACGTAGGAATTGCACAGATGGCGGCTCTCACTTTTCCAACGATGAGATATTAGAAAAGAACCCTACGTCTGATTTGGGGATCATAACCTTATTTATAGATGCACACTGTTTATTTAATTCTAATTTAGCTCATCATTAAATTAGAAATTACATCCGGATATCTACACATGAGACTCCACACTTTAGGAGATGTCTTATAGACCCATTAACTTTAAATCTTAGAAGATCACTTTTGATTTGGATCAACCTTTTAACAATACCAACCAACATACAATTATCTTAATATAAAATATATGTGCAAGTCCATAAACTCTTACAATATCCCACTTGGACGACACATATATATGTACATATAGCTTTATAATTGTATGTCACCATATGAGCTCAAAAATATTTACTATCAAAAAATAAAATACCTCCGATCAATCATGTCCATCAATCATGCCAATATTGGACCAATGCGGCTTTTATTACTTTTTTGGTAACTAAACAAGTTTATTTACCAAGTAATATTTACATAGTATTTCTCTCGCTAGCCTGATCTGAACATCAGTCCCAGATTCAGCTTGACTTCTCATTCTTGTTCCTCCTAACTACTATATCTGTTTTTACATATCCATATGAACAGTATGGTAGTATTTTAACTCTAATAGCTTTCCCTTCAATCTTTATTTCATGTTCCCTCGACAATGAATTTCTTGTACTAGTTGTCGAGTAATTGTTTTAGTACTCCTCTGTCTTGCTTGAAATATTTGTGTATTCCGCTCTTGTCATATATATTATATACTTCAAGCTAGTGCCATTTTGTAGACTTCTGCTTTAAAACTCCTTCCTTTATAATGTCTTTCAGCCCATTCCAATTCGTATAACCCATTCCAATGGCTTTTATTACTTTTATTGTAACTAAACCTTCCTTGATCACGAATACCAACATAACCAAATGACATAGATCAAGTACGGATGCATAGCATAAAAATTACATGCAATGTGATACAATCATGCCTATTTTTAACTGGTCCAACTAAAAAACAAGTCAAAGTGAAAAATAAACTGAATTCTTTATTTCTGCAGGAATAACCTCAACTATCCTTAAACTGAAACCATAACCTGAAACCAAATTGTGTCTATAAAGAAAATTCAAGAGGTTGCAAACTCAAACTGAAACTGAATATCCCTAAATAATATGATACCCGTATAAGCAATATGCTCATGAAGATCTTGGGTGGTAGTCCCTTAGTAAGTGGATTTACAATCATGGAGTTTGTACCTATATGCTCTATAGACACCAGCCACTATGAACTCTTTATTTAACAACTAGGAACTTTATGTCAATATACTTTGACTTTTACCGAACTCCTATAGTTATTAGAATACAAGACTGTTAACTTATTGTCACAGAATAACTTTCGTGTTCTTTTAACTTTATTCATAGATTCGCATCCAGTGACAAAATTTTGCAACTGTATTCCGTAATCAAATGCCACATAATATGCTATAAACTCAACTACCATGGTGAAAAGAGCTATGAGTGTTCGTTTAACACTCTTCCTTATATATCTCATCAACTAAGTATGTAGCATATTATATTGGCATCTGGCAAAGTCGGTATCTAAATACCTTATATCGTTAACTTTTTTGACTTTCTTTATGTCAGAATAAAAAAGTATATGTATGTTCTTTGTAAGTACCTTATGAACCTTTTGGCCTCTTTTCAAAGATAAATTTCTAAGTTATTTAAATATCTGCCTAACATCCCAAAATTATATGCAAATATTCAATTGTCACGATCCAAAATCCAACTAGTCGTGATGAAACCTAACCCAATCCATTAGGTAAACCAAATAACAGTAGCATAATTTAATGATAATGATAAGAATAAAAAAGTGAAATAATTGAATTTATGCAACTCCCAAAGGACTGGTAGTACAAGTCATGAGCCACCAGGACTTATATTTACAAAACTAAAATGAAATAATTACGACATCTGTCTGGAATGTGCATGAACAGAATTCGAATCTAAAGCTACCAAGGACAAGTGATAGTCATAACTGGAACTTGAGTACATCTTCAATGCCAGCTCCCTCCATACACAACAGCATCAACTCCAAGATATGCACACAAGGTGTAGAAGTATAGTATAAGTACAACCAACCCCATGTAATCAATAAGTATCCTAACTAACCTCGGCGAGGTAATAACAACAAGAATTATAAATGATATAGAACAAATATATGATCAAATCAAGAAAACACAAGTAAAACCACCTTGGTGCTCATAATTCTTTGTTTTAAAGTATTTTACTCAGTCAATAGTTCAGCATATAAGGAAGGTATGTGAATAAATCAGGTAAACAGTCAAGGATCACTATCCGCGTGTACACCATTAAGAGAGAAGCATGAGAGGGTGAATCTAGGGGGATGAATCAGTATCCACATTCAAGCATGACCAATTCAACGCGCTATCAGCCCGGCGTGAGCACATGCTCAATATCATAATTCGCACGCGTGATCACAGGCTCAATATCAATCGCACGGACAACTCACGTGTCGTGATATTAGTATCTAGATCCGCATGGATAACTCACGTGCTAATAATCAAAATCTACCCGGTGTAGTCACAGGTTCAATATCACAATCCACATGTCGTTGTCATAGGCATAATAACATAATCCGTCCGATGTGGTCACGGGCATAACAACACAATCCACCCGGCGTAGTCCAAATCATATCACACAAAAGCAATTATACAAGATTACATATATGTAATAAAGAAATAAATATTAGATTTCATGCTCCTAGACTGGTATAATGACATGCTAAAGTGTAGGCGTGTGCAAAGTGATCATAGCTCAAATCGGCAAATTCATAACAGAAATAGCAATTTTCAAGTTTATTCGGGGAATTAACCTCTATGCAACCTCAACATGGCTCAAATAGTTCACAACAATATTAAGAATATGAGAAATAGTATAGCTTAAGGCTTAACAGTCAATTATAGGCTTATCATGCCTAAGCACACCCTAGCAAGGATAAATATCCCGGTGCTCGCACATGGGCTCAATCCCCACACATGTGCAAACTGATAGTATGTAGCTATCATAAATAACTCTGACAACTAGTGATTCAACCAAGTTTAGACAAGATACTTACCTTAAGCAAGCCAAAACAAATACCGAGCAAGCCAAACAATACTCTAGAAATGCCATCCCGCACAAATTGACATCCGAACGGCTCGAAACTAGCCAAAAGCAACTCAAAATCATCAAATGATGCCAAAGGAAACATACAAATGATAAAGATCGAATCGTTAATCAATAACTCAAAGTCAACCAAAAATTTAAACCCGATCCGCACCTCGAAATCCGACAAAACTCATAAATTCCGATAACCCATTCAATTACGAGTCTAACCATATAAGTTTCATCTAAATCCAACCTTAATTTCATGTTCAAAACCCCATAACTCATTCTCTTAAGTTCAAGTCAAGGTTTCCCAATTTTTTCTCTTCAAATCCTTGATTTAGTTGTAATAATCCATGAAAAAATAAAATATATAATCAAACAAAGATAAAATTACTTACCCTCAAGATTCGAGTGTTTATCCCTTCTAAAGCCGCCTTACTTGTGCTCCAAGAACTCAAAGTGAAGAAAATGAACTCAAAATCCCGAAATTTGATGTTTTAATGCACTACCATGGTCCTTCTTCACGC